GATATGTCTATGTTACCTAAAAAGTTGGAGCAAATTTTGATAAAAATTATTTGCAATTTTTAGCTGTAGCCAAAACGCTATATGTTAAAAAATTTAGGACAATTACAAAAAAATTTTGCTAATAATATTAACCGCCTACCTCTTTCTCTCTCCCTCTTCCTGTTATTTCCTTATATAGTCATGCTTCAGTTGTTGCAGTGATGGTAATATTGCTATGTGGGATCTTCGTAATCGTGAGATGACAAGACTATTAAGAGGTCACACTGATGGAGCTAGTTGTGTTGATATTGCACCTGATGGTAATAAACTATGGACTGGTAGTCTTGATGCTACTGTAAGATGTTGGGATCTAAGAGAAGGAAGACAACTACAACAGCAAGACTTTAATAGTCAGATATTCTCATTAGGATATTGTCCTACTTCTGATTGGCTAGCAGTGGGGTAAGATAAAAGTATTTTAAAGTTATTATATTGCTTACGTTATTTCCATTGCATGAAACAAACATAAAGTAGCTACTTGTTACAGGCTCCATATATTGTCATCAATGAAAACTAAACCCACAAATTAGTGTATGAGGATCAAATGCTGAAAGCTTTAGAACTACAAAATTAATCCCACTATATCACTGTATGCTTGTATACTTTATATAGCAATAGTCTTATTAATTATTAGCAGTATTAGATAAACCAATGGTTTAATGTGTGTGTGTGTTTATGTATTATTAGTATGGAGAGCAGTAGTGTTGAAGTCCTTCGTGTGAGTGGTCCAGATAAGTATCAGTTACATTTACACGAGTCTTGTGTACTGTCACTCAAGTTTGCTCACAGTGGTAAATGGTTTATAACTACAGGAAAGGATAATCTACTAAATGCATGGAGAACACCTTATGGTGCTAGTATATTCCAGGTACATAGTCCATTATTATTAACATTAACTGTACAGTGGTATTTGTACTTGTTACTATTATTATATGTGTGTGTGTAGTCTTATTTATAATTATACATTAATGTACAATGAAATAATGATTGTATCCTATACATACAGATGTCTGAAAGCAGTAGTGTTTTAAGCTGTGACATATCAGTTGACGATCGTTTTATTGTTACTGGATCTGGAGACAAGAAGGCTACAGTGTATGAAGTTATACTATGAGGTATAGTTTGAATAGTTTACTATAGTATAAAAAGTAATTGTCATTATTTTATTTATTGTTGTGTCCAGTAGGTGATATTTGACTTGTAATGAATA